TTTGTCCATTTGTTGAAACACACCAGATGAATTAATGGCGAAGTCGCTTCAATTCCCTGTTTGCTATGAACATTTGTCTTTCTGTGAGCGTACATTTTCTTTTGTTTATTGATTTCTTTGTATTTGGAGATGTGTGAGTTATTTACCACTCCTTTATTGTTCTACAACATTGATCAAAGTAACTTAATGTGGCTCCCAATTTGAAAAAACATCTTTACAGATTGATTACAAGTATGAAATAGAAACTACTTGTTTGCATATGTAAAAATGAATATGTAAATATTGTATTTTCCTTTTTCTTAACTTAGTTTACTTTCTTGTATTTTTATTTGATCACATTTGTGATTTTTATTTGTGTTGGAATTGTTTGACTAAATTAAATTTAGTTCCTTAGTTCATTTCATTCTTAGTTTAATTTTTTTTTTATTTAATTCTTACTTTGAGTCTTTATTTTACTTTTAATTTTTAATTTTTTACTTTTTATTTTTAAATTTATTTTTATTTGTATTCTATTTTATTTTATCTTATTTGTATGTCTTTAATTTATAATTCTTTTACATTTACATTTTTAGTTCAATTTAATATAATAAAGTTTTTTTATGGTTGTGTTTTTAAATTAATTACATTTAACATAATAAAAATTAAATTAAAATTTTTGCTTATTTGTCCTGGTGGACTAAACAAATAAATACCAACACCTGACTGTTAAAACACAATGACAGCAATTCCGGCATGGAGATTGCAATTTCGTCCGAGTTGTCATCATTTTACACAAACATCACCTTTTACCCCCATAAATGTCAGGAATTTGAAATGACGACGTCACTTTTGTCGCAAATGCAATTGTCAAGAAGTAATCCCCTAAAGAGTATCGGAAATGAAACGCTGCGTTTATTTCATCCAATGATAAAGAACCACTACACTCTTTTTGTGATTAGACAATAATCCTGTGCTCTGATACAGTACCTCTCCACACCGGCCGTCCAACACAGAGCCTAAATGTCATGGCTACTTTGCATGCGGATGAGAAATGCTAATGAATGAAAAAAAAATACCCCGGCAGTATTGCTTTCTAAATGAACCCACTTGTATCTTACAAAGGTTAGCGGTGCATGTAAGCACAAAGCCCGTCTTTGTCAGGCGACCTTATTAGCATGCACAGAGTTGTGTCATGTTCTGAAGGTGCTACTACATTCTGCCTTGTCATAAAATCAATACACCATCTACTGAAGGCTTCACCAATAACTCACATTGGCTGTGACACAACCACGGTTCAAGGACTGACTCTTGAAATTGTTTACCACGAGAAATATCTGTGTACGCTGGGTTTGGGCGAGGAGACGTAATGGTTGGAGACACACACATCATAAAAATACAGTATGTTGTCCTCCCTCTGTACATAAGTAGAACCGGTGTTCCTTGTTCCCTGCTGCATGCTGTCTTTGTTTCTTCCTCACACACCCGTCCTGACTGCGCCTGCAGATTGTTCCGCGGAGACGAGTGCGTTTTAGTCCGCTTTGTGTTTGTTATTGTTGGGAGAGCTCTTGAAGTGTAGCTCTGAATGTGCCAGTAAGACACAGTGCACAGATGTGTCAAAAACTCAAAACAAGAATCAGCACAGGCGTACGCGCACACACACACACACACACACACACATCGACTGCTTAAACATGAAGCCGATGCCTTTTTCTAGGTCACCGTCTGACTGAGCGACTTGAAGTTTCCCTATCTCGGAAAGCGTTTGAAGTTCGCTACAGTGATTGGATGAATGAATTTTGGGTTATGCGGAGTTTCCTGCTGACAATTGATGTATTTAAAACTGCTTTAAAAAATCTGGCAAAACAATCTCAACTCGTCCACTTACTCACTTGTTTTGTTCCCACTTTCGACCAAATCGCACGGTCTTCATCTACACGTTGAGTTTGTTCTGCACCTTTGTAGGACTTTTGGCTCAAAAGTTGAGCTTGACCTCAGCAACAGTAGTCCACTTGCTCGCTTGCTGTTGAGCTTCAACAGCAAATTGAGTTTCCTCTGTTATCACAGAAACGCAGATGAATCTTAGAACCTCTAGACTTCTCGCCCATGTTGACCTAAAAGTTCTTGAGTTTGGAAACAGTAGTTGGCAAAACAATCTCAACTCCAGGTCAAGTTGTTCTGGAGCTTTCGACCGTATCACCCCATCTTTGTGTGTTTGTATTTGCCATAACCACAATGTTTTTAACCTTAGCCATACTGTGCCATTTGCTCATAATGTAGCAAGCTTTGGCATTTTCACTTTCAATGTAATTTCAGGGATTTGCATAATTGGCCAATTCTGGATTCTGTGCTCCCCTGAAACAACCTTTAACAGTCTCCTGGCTTTTTCCGCGGTGGCCCTAAAAACTACACCATAAAATCCTTCCTAACCTGCAGCAGCACACAGTCTCCTTGCTGAAATGTCTCTGGTGGTCTGGTTTTTGATGGACAAACGTCTGAACACAAAATGATGCTGTCGCTCTGTATTATGTACAGGCTAACCACAGCTTTGCAGCGCAATTAAAGTCCTGGTGACAGCGACAAAAAAGAAAAAATCAACTCATTTAAGAATTCTGTGTCGAAATGTGTCGCAAATGCACGTTTCTTTCAACCTCAACTAAGTAAACTCAATCAGCTGAAGATGAAGGCTGTGTGATATATAGCTCATGCACTGAAGTCACACCTCCATTAACTGATTGGATGTTTCATTCATGCTTCACTATCACTTGCTCATTCACAACTGTAGCTTTCAGCTGACTAACAACGTACAATCAAGGGTGTAGGTTTGCATATTTTGGGAGGACTGAATTGACAGGGCTCGCTAGCAGCTGTTCAAGATGACAGCGACATCTTGAATTCAAAATTGCAGGTGCACTGTACATATAGTGCATTTTATTAGAAATATGCTCAAGCCATGCTCTAGTTTATTTTTAAAAACTCATGGCAGGCCATTTTGAAATCGGGCCACAGGTCAGAGTTTGGCCACACTTGCCTTAGGGCTTGTGCTTGTGTTTTTCTCTCTTACCGCACAATTGCTCCCCAGCGTCCCACCAGCACTTTTATGCAAAAAAGCACCCGCATGTTGTTGTTATTTTGTGTTCCTACCAATGTTGAGGCCAAACCTACGCCCTTGTGTACAATCATAATCATTTTTTAAAGGGGGATTAGTTCCCACAGCATTGCTGCTCTGATTCTATGAGAGCAAAGCTTTTTCCACCAAACCTAATTGTATGACTGTTTGCTATAAATGGTAAAATCCTTGATGTCAGTGATTGAACAAGCAGAGGACCTTGAGTTGAGGTTGCTTTGTTAAATGCAGTTTCCAAGGTCATGAATGAACATTAAAATGTTTGTTCAAGGATGTTCAAGGATTCTTTTTATTGTTGTTAAAGCTATTAGATATTTTATTTGATTAACTGATTTGTCTTTAAAATGTCAGGAAATCACAAAGATCTATCATTTTGTTTACGAGAAATGGCTCTAAATATTCCATTTATTATCACATTAGACAGTGTTTGGCTTTTTTGCTTTATAAATGACTGAAATGATTTAATCGTTTATTATTTTCTGTCAGTTGATCGATCTATTCATTGACTTGTTTCAGTTCCTCAAATGTTTTCCTCTCTGTGAGCAGAATGAGAACGGACACTTTTAAACACATCATGGTCTGCAGGATTATGCATTTTCATCAACGAATGCAGTCATGTGAGGAGAACAGCAAGATTATCCGGACCTTCACAGGAGCTGAGCGCATGTTCATCACATGAACGTTCGACACCCCAACATGTAATGAACACATCGAGCCCATGCCTCTAGAATGAGCCTTAGGACAACGCTGCACACACACAGAGAGTTTATAGATTTTCAAGCTCTGGGGATGTCACATGCCTACACAGAAGATGAATTGTTTCAGATTAGATGGGGGGGACGGTGTCTATACTGTGCTTGATAGTGACAGCTGCGGAGCAAAGGATTAGAAAGACCGTCTTACACAATCTTCTTGGCTTCTCAGAAAATCATACACTAAAACAACTGGTTCCACTAAAGAGTGCACGACACCTGTCAGGTTGATTAAGAGAGTATTTTTAAGCACCTGTATGCAAGTCTCATAAACAGGTTTGCATACAGCAGGTATGTACAGCAGGTGTGCAGGTATGTACGCTGTGTCCTAGAAGGAGCAGGCTCATATTAATAAGTCGAAACAGTATCCCCACCACATAACCCAGTTTGCAATGGTCTCCTTGTTGCCACTGCTGACACTTGGCATACTCAGGGGAGGGCACTGTCACCTCGGATTAAAGCATCTTTTGAATAATGCCTCTTTGCACGTCACTGGGTCTAAAGAAAGCTTTAGCGCAGTGTGCATGAAGCATTTTGTGCACTCAAAGACTTAGTGGTATATGGATATTAGAAGCCAGCCTTAACCTCCTCCTGCATGAGAGCATCACATCTGATGATATGATGCGCTGTGTAAAATATTAATTTGGATTTAAAATGAGCAGGAACAGGAATAACAAGGTGGTGGAAGTTCCCTGTTGCTACCAAATCAGATAGGATGGCAACTATTGATCATTCTCATTGATTCCTCTGTTGATTTACTGCTTGGAGTCCAAGAAGACGTCCTCAAATGACTTTTACCAATAGTGCAAAACGAACACAAAATAATAAAACAGGACAAATCGAAACAATCTTCCTATTTGAGAAGCTGGGTGGAGCATTTGCGTTTTCCAATCGTTTTGGCTTGTGACCCCTTAAAATGAAGCAATGTGAGTGAGCATGAGAACACGCCCTTCAACAAAACAGTAATTTTTCTCTCTCAGTTTGTTCAGTTTGAAGGATTTTTTGAGCCTTAGGTCAAAGCTGCTACAATCAATATTATTTTAAATTATAATGGTAGGTCAAATGACAAAGTGGAGCATTAATCAGCCACAGAAACACAGATATTTCCCTCAGGAGTTGGTGGAGACCAAAAACAGAGCTAAAAGGAGAGTGGATATTAGACTTTTATTCATCAGGTTACACAGAATAGGACTCCGAATGCATGCTTTGTATCTCATTCACCATTAAATTTAAAAACTTTAATTTAATATGTCAGTGTTGTGTTTACAGCTTGTTGATGCTGCCCCCAAGTTGCAAGAAAGCCTTCCGGTTTAATGGTCCAGTATGAGCTAAAATGAGAGAAAAGTCAATAATATTTCAAAATTGTGCACATTCTTGGTAATATCATGTATGTTTTTTTTCCATTAATTTTTCTTTATTATATTTGTTAGAATCCTACTTGTCCATTTTGATCTCTTTACTGTTTCTATATTTCTATATTTAATTTTCATGTAAGCAACTAAATACGGAGGCAAATTCCTCCGTTGTGAAAATGTGTAACTGACCAAATTCTGATTCCCTTTAATTATCTTTTGACGCACCCACTAGACAATTGTTGAAGTTCAGTTTTCTGTACCTCATGAATAGAAATGAGTCACTTTTTAAAGAGCATGTTTCCGGAACTTCTTTGCACTGGATTTTATTTAAAACGATCCTCTGGGATGCTTAACTTCATTGACACAGTGGGACCATCTGTCCATTTTAGCCCACGGCCCAATCTGTTAACTCTGAGCATGGCACTAATTCACTGAAAACGGGGACACGTGTTAAAAGGCTTCCCCTTCTTGGATGCTTAATCAGAGGTTCTCTTCTTTTCAGCAATGCGCGCGGATCCTCCCATCCAAAATCAGTCTACCCCGGGTCCATCCATTAACTTTCCCATAGAAGTGACGTCTGGATTGCAAAGAGAGATTAAAGATCAGGAACTGGAACAGCGGACAGCCGTTGCATAATTAACTCCACTACGAGGAATTGAGTTATTCCTCAGTCGCAAGTGGCACAACGTGGGCGGCGCGTCGAGTGACGATCTGTAGCACCACCGCGGCTCCACGCACGAGTCAGAAGCTGGATGTGGAGCAGCTGGACCTCACGGTGTATCTCGGGGTAACCTGCGGTGGAACCCCCTGCATGTAAAAGGAGTTTTGGTTCGGGGCCAGCCCTGAAAGGTGCGGTAGTGTCCGTCTGATGGCGCGCGGCTCTCCAAGGTGGATTCGGTTTCCAGTCCGGTAACACAAACTGACGGAGCGACTTCATTTGAGTGCTCACGAGAAACCGACCCGGACGGAAAGGACATTTCCTCACCTGAAGACCAACACGCGTGTTTCTGCTCCTGGGCTTTACATGATCTGAATGGATCATAACCTCTGGTATTATCTGGACAGCTCATTTGGACACCTGATTGGCCTTCTCCGGTGACAGAAGTGACATTTCCAACAGTAACATATTTGTGGCACCAATTGTGTTGCTGCGACTTTTCTTTGCACAATTAAACTGAAAGGATAATCTCAGTGGGGTGTGCTCGGCCGCAGGGAGGCGGATAATAATCAAGTCATAAGAAGACATTTAATGACACACATGGACATTATGTGAAAAATAAAGGTCTGGAAATGCGTCGCAAATGCTTCCATCTGCTTGAGGTAAGTTCTGCGCCTTTTGCGCTTTGACTTCATCTGCTGAACTGAACTCGGACATTTAATTAAAATAGCTTAATAAAAGCGTGTAGATCTGTCTTATTCTCGCGGATTTCAGATGAGTATAATCTTGATGCGAGGGGATTTTACACTATCATCCCATCCAGATGTCAGTTTTGGATATCTCCATCTCTAGCTATTTAAAAAAAAAAAAAAAATTCTGAAATATTCTGAACTAAAATGTTTGAATCAGGTCAGTAATCCTGACAGAGACTTGCAGGGGTTTTTCCCACCTCCCCTCTGCTTTGCTCTGAGTATTAAGAACAATCTGTATCATAGCAGGTTAAAGAAAAGCTGAAGCTGCAAATGATGTATTTACTTGTAAACAACGAAACAGAAACCAGGACTTTGGTTTAAGATGGCATGAGAAAACAATCCCAAGTGGCACGATTCCTCCCCTGTCTGGGGCTGGGAGCTCAAATGCTGATGCAGAAAAACCCGGATTTGGGACACTGGAGATTAAAAAGAGAGCTAATGCTGCAAGTGCACCCCTCTCACTTCCGCTTTAATGAACATATTTCAGTCTCAAAAAGTCTTCCCTGAGATGAGTCATCTAATATCATGTGCTGTGGCACCTTCTGGACAAAATGGAGAGAGAACAATATAGGGACGAGAGGTTTGTTCTACTCAGAAGAGACATGCTGATGTTGTTACAGATGCCTGAGGTGAATTACTTCATCTTCCTATTGTGTGAGAAGAGCTGCCTCACTAAGAATAGTCAAGAACCCCCCCCCCCCCCACACACACACACACAGCAACTCACACAGGCTATCACATGTCTGCTAAGGTCAAAAAGTAACTAAGAACATTTATTTAAGTCCTGTACTGCAAGTTCAGGGTGGAGATACTTGAGTATTTCTACTTAACGGTGGTGGAAGAAAAAAACCTTTGACTCAAGCAAAAGTAGCAATACCTCAGTGCACAGTGTAGAAATACTCTCTTACAAGTTAAAGTCCTGCATTCAAGCACCAAATATACTTAAAGTACCAAAAGTATAGCACTACTTATGGGACATTTCGGAATCATGTATATTATTATATTATAATTATTGTGTGGTGCTGCTGCCTGAAAAGAGGGATGATAAGGCAGCCTACAAGAGGAAGACTGAAGACCACTTTACCAGTAAGACCCACAAGAGGGTGTGGCAGGGCATCCAGCCCATTACTTTACAAGACCAGCAAAAGCAAGAAAGCAGAGTGGTGAAAGCAGCGGAGAGAGACACAACACCGTCACCAGCCCCCAACAGCCCCATCCTCGCTGTGCAGGAGCAGGATGTGAGGCGTGTGCTCATAGCGTGAATTCGAGGAAAGGTGTTGAAGGAATGTGCAGACTTCACCAGTAAAATGGACGTTTTGGTTGATCGTTTAAGCAGCTTATCACCGCCCATATTCACATTTATTGTTAGTGATCTCTAGTGGCCGTAGTTAAGTATGACGGGAGCAAAGGAAGTCAGGTGACGTAGTTTACAACCCGTTCTCACTCCCTAGTCATCACATAAGGCCGCATGGTCAAGACCCATTGGCGTCAGTTTGTAACGCGCTGGGGGGAAGCCCTGTAGCGTCGCTTTTGAATGCTAATGGCAGATGTGGGATATTCAACACAAAAGTCAGAGTAAGGAGGTGGTTGGGGGATGATGGGCCCAAAACTGGACGTTCAACCAGGAGACAGGTGTTCGTTTCCCGTGTGAAACAGAACGTGGAAATTCAATGTTTTTATTTAAATTACGTAAGTTGCATAAGTCACGAAAGTAACGTCACTTAACTGGCGTAACGTAGTTATTTTAACCCAAACCGTGATCTTTTTCTAAACCTAACCAAGTAGGTTTTTTGCCTAAACTTAACCAAATTGCAACATTTCACAATGTCAACATTGTCAACATTAACAAGTACTTTTGTTTTGAAAGTCTAACCGGATGTTGAATTATTTATTTTTGCTAACTTGACTGCCGAGCCATAAACGTTGGAAAAACTGCAAAATGCTAAAATGCTAAAGGGGTACCCAGGGAGTTAAAGAACGCCGCCAAAGGGTCTTGACCAAGCATATTTGTGGCGAGTTGGGAGAGAGAATGTGTTGTAGTATAACGAGCAAGAAACGACTAAAGAAATTTCATCCAGGAGAAGGGGGCTTGAGTCCAGTGTGAAAATAAATCAATGTTGACCTATTTCAAAGTTAAATAACGTTACGTAGGTGAGTTACGTCATGTGAGTTACGTCATGTGAGTTGGCAGACGTTTCTTATGTCATATTACTTAACATAGTTTTTTAAACCCAAACAATGATCTTTTCCTCAACCTAACCAAGTAGTTTTGTTGCCTTACCCTAACTACCGCCGTTGCACAATGCTAACCACGTGTTTAACCAACACGTTCTCACTCCCGACTCGTCACATATTGACGCTTGGTCAAGGCCCATTGTCGTTGTTTTTTGACCCCTTTTGCATCATTTATTGACGTTTAGGTCTCTGCGATCAAGTTAGCAACGCTTGGCAACAATAAAAATGCAACGTCAGGTTAGACTTTCAAAATAAAAGAGCTTCCAAACATCTCCATATTGAAACATTGCATTATTAAAGTCGTGAAACGTTGCAGTTTGTTTGGGTTTGGGCATAAAAAGTACTTGGTTAAGGTTAGGAAAAGATCGTGGTTTGGGTTAAAAAATGACGTCAGTTTACACGTAAGTCAACTAACGTCACGTCAATTTATGTAACTTAAATAAAAATATTTAATATTCACTTTTTGCTTCACACAGGACACGAACCCCGGTCTCCTGGTTCAGACTCGTGGTTCTGGCCCTCTGTCCACCTCCTTACTCAGTCTTTTCCCGTTAAATATCATATAGGCATACCTGCCTTTACTGTCAAAACTTGACACTACATGGTTTCTCCCAATGCGTTGAACTATGACGCTAAAGGGATCCCCAGTGCGTTACAAACTGACGATGATGGCTCTTGATCATGCGTCCATATGTGATGAGTCGTGGAGTGAGAATGGGTTGTTTAACATCACGTGACTTGGGTAACGTTCTTACTGCCACCTTGTCATCAGCGGCCTCAACGACTGCTGTGCGGTATCAGCCATGGTCATCATGAAGTGCTCCGAGAGGCTGGTCCTGCAGCGCATCAAAGCCAGCTTCCCACCCACCTTTGACCCATATCAGTTTACCTACAGAGCAAATAGCTCTCCAGAAGATGCCTTCGCTATTGCTCAGGACGGCTGTGGCATAAACGTAGAGCGGGTCGCCTATTTATCAAAAGATCCTGAACCTCAAATTTCTCCCGAAGGCTGTGTCCTCAGTGTGTGAGTGTTTGTTTCTGATTTGCTGCTGGCACCTTGTATAGCAGCCTCTGCCATCAGTGAATGAATGTGTGTGTGAATGAGGTTAATGTGACTGGCAATTTAAAGTGCTTTTAAGTGGTTGTAAGATTAGAAAGGCGCTATTATAAGTGTTCCATTCGTTACTCTTCACATTGCACTGCCTTACCTTAAACACCAGTGGAACTACGTGAGGATGCTTTTCATAGACTGGCTACTAAACCTGCTGAACCCACCTGCCACTCTACACTCACGACAGTGTCCCCACCCACTCCACCAACACCATCATCAAGTGTGCGAACGACACGTGGTTGGATTCATCTCTGGAAAGGACGAGAGAGCCTACAGGGATGACGTCCAAAGACTGACAGCGTGCTGTTCAGAGAACACTCTAGTCCTGAACGCCGCAAAAATAAGAGAACTCATAATCAATGGGGACTGTACGGAAAAGGCTCCTGGGTACGCACATCGCTTCAGATCTCTCTTGGACTACAAATACCAGCACAGTTGTCAAGAAGGCTGGGGACAACTGGGGAACCTCAGGGAATAAATTCAAAAGAATATATAAAAACATTACATCATAATTTAGAAAATGGTTATATTTTGTACTATTAATCTGAATCTGTGACTTGTACTACTACAGT